AATAGAATAGAATAGAATAGAATAGAATAGAATAGAATAGAATAGAAAATATGAAATGGAATGATAGAGTAGAGTAAATAGAATACATTGGAATAGAATAGATTGAAATAGAATAGAACAGAACAGAATACGAATACGAATATGAATACGAATAGAATTTCTGGCCTTCCCGAGCTTCCAGGAGGCCCATTTTTTGTAGTCTCCGAACCTCCGTACAGGCCCCGAACTTACCTGCATCCAAAACAGGCCGCGTGGGGACTCCGGGGAGGGAAGGGGTGGGCAGGGCCAGCCAGGAGTGGGATTTGGGGGGGTTCTCCAAACTGCGCAGAATCTTAGCTAGGGGCTCTCCCGAACCCCTGAGAACCCCCAGCATAAGCCCACCCCTATATAGAGCCCCCTACAGCCCTCAGCAAAAACCTCAAAGACTCTTGGCTCTTTCACTTGTTTGCAAACGTCTCCCTTCCTCCAAAATGCAAGGAAGAAAGAGAGAGATTTCCAAGTCTGGCACACATCTAAAAGGTGTAAAGTTTTCCTTTGTCCAGTGATAACTAATTCTAGAGCAGGGGTGTCAAACTCAATTTCATTGAGGACCGCATCAGGGTTGTGTTTAACCTCGGGCGGGGGGGGTCGTGGCCTGCATCCAAAATGGGCCGTACACCAGGGGTGGGATTCTACCAGTTCGCACCTATTCGCTAGAACTGGTTGTTAACATTCTAAGCAGTTCGGAGAACCGGTTGTTAGAAGAAATTACTGGCCTAATCCTGTAAGGAAGACAGGAAGGAAACATTCTGGTGTTGCTTACAGAAACTGCCTCTCCATTAACCTTTATTACATTCTTGGCAGGACTAGACTTCCTGTCTCTGGAACTTCTCTGGAGTTTTTTCTCCCCTTCCTTTGCTGGTACTTTGCTTGTGTGGAGTGACCCTTCAAAGTTACAATGGCACTGAAATAAGTGACTTATGACCCTTTTTCACACTTACGACTGTTGCAGCACCCCCACAGTCATGAGAGGCCAGGCGAGGAGATGCGTCCCTCGATGTGAGTGGTATTGAGTTGGCCACACCCAGCCAATCACATGACCACCAAGCCATGTCCACCCAGTCACATGACCACCCAAGCCACGCCTACCACCTAAGCCACGCCTACCACGTAAGCCACACCCACAGAACTGGTTGTTATAAAATTTGAATCCCACCCCTGGCCCTGGGGACCATGGGAAGGGAGGGGAGGGGACTCCTGGAGGGAGAGCGGAGGGGCAGGGTGGGGCAGGGCTAGCCAAGAGTAGGATTTGCACAGAGCTGCACAGAGAACCTCCCAACTACACAGAATCTCGGGGTTCTCTCAGAGCCCTGCAAACCTCCAGCAGCCCAGCCCTGAGTTTAGGCCAGGGAGCAGAAGTCCTTCGCAGCGTGGAAACCAGGGATCACATCTGCCCGTTTAGTTTCTGCCCCAGTTTCTAAGAGGGCTCTAGAGGCTTCAGCGAACATCTGAAATGAAACTTCCCAGACGCTTCTGCCTCCCTCGAGGTCTCATTGCTCAAGTGACCTGCGGCTGAATGTGGCCACGGAGACCTCCAACAAAGGCTGGGTCAGCGAAGTGGGCTTTGCTTCCCGAACTCATCAGTGGATTTGCACAGTCACCAAGCGATGAATCACATATATGAAAATGTGTTTGAATATTTCTTAATTGGAGAGAGGATTATAAAATCATAACGGCCAAGAGAAGATGATTAGATAAGCCTTGTGTGAATTAATAGCCTGTATCGCTTTCGGTTCTCGGACAAACCGTCTCTGAAATATTTTACCTGCAGGGGAAAAAGGATTGGGACCTTAGGCCTGGCGTACATACCCTCTTTTATGGGTCTATTTAATTGGCTCACCCAAACAGACTTATTTATATAGGGCGCCCCGCTGTTTTAACCTTCTAATCGCCACCTATCTTCAGAGCTTGGATGTCTAAGCCAGGGGTCACAATGTTAAAGGATTTTAAAAGAGGCCTTATCTTGCAGGGTCAGGAGCCCTGAAGTCCTTCAGAAAGACGGTAAAAATATGCCTTTTGTTGTCTTTGGCCTTGAGGCTGGGAGGCATTCCCTCATCTGGAGCAGAGTGTGGAGTGAATCTTTTGTTCTTGTTCACTTGCTAAGTTGTGTCTGATTATTCAGGACTGTTGTGGTTAGCCGGCAGCAGGTGCGGACGGCTGAGGAGAGCGAGGACTCAGATGAGGGGCCAGGACCATTAGGGAGTGGACTGCACCCTTCAGAGATTGTGGGGGCTGGCAGCAGCGATGAGGAGGTTCCCGAGGAGCCTGTGCCAAGTGCGTGTGCGTGCAGGGTTGCTCGTAGGAAAGAGCATCTGCAGCAGCACAGGCGACTCAGGAGTAAGGCTGCAAGGTAATGGCCCCTCCTTCCAGAAGATAAAAGCCAGCTGTGAAAGGAACGTTCTTTGTAGGAAGCAAAGACGTTTTGAAACTCAGCCTTGTGGACATTACAGTATCTTAAGTTGGTATTTGGAGACTCTTGTGTTGTGAAATATTTCTTATCTGTGATTCTTGGCAGTCTTGTACAGTTTTGGCGAGGCTCGTGCTTATCAAAGTTAATTAGTTTGCAGCAGCCTTTTAACCAGGGGTTCATAAGACTCATTAAAAGGTTTCTGTTCCCTTTGGTTATTGTTTGTTTTATTGGAAAAGGGTTTGGATCAGGACAAGGAGCCCCATGGACCATATCACGCCAGGCCTTCCTGTCCTCCCCTACCTCTTGATGTTTGCTCAAAGTCATGTTCATTGCACTGATGACCCCCATCTAACCCTCCCCTCTTCTCCTGTCCCCTTCTCATTCTACCTTCCATCTTCCCCAACCTCAGGGTCTCCTCCAAGGAGTCCTCTCTTCTCATTAGGTGGCCAAAGTCTTAGAGCTTCAGCTTCAGGATTTATCCTTCCAAAAAATAGAATTGATTTCCTTTTAGGATTGAACTGATTTCATCGCCTTGCAGGCCAAGGGACTCTCTCTTGTCCTGCCTTCTGGTGCTTTGGAAAATAAATTGACAACCCCTCAACCCTTGTGGCAGCCTCCCTAATACTGGACTACTGCTATCATGTCCCACCCTACTGCTTCTTTTCTCTAGACTAGCCAAACCCAAGTCCTGTAATGGTGTAACCCTTCTTCATACGTTTTAGTCTCCAGGCCTTTAATCCGCTTAATCACTTTGACCGTTAGTAGTTCAGATTCTTGTCGAGAGCTTTAGCAGACATTTCCCAGGCTTGACCCAATGTTAGCATTTGCTCAGGCCCGCCTGTATTAATCTCCCCCTAAAGATAAACCTTTACATGTGTCTTTCCTTTCATTCCAGTCCTCCAAATGAGCAAATTCCTAGTTGAGTTGACTTCTCAGCATGAACAGTCATGAAGTTTTCCAATCATGCTGAGCTCTCAGCTAATGGAAGTCAGGAGGTTTCCACCAAGGAATCCCACAACCTAGCTGATCCTTATTTAGATGCAGGTAGACTTGGATTTATGACCACAGTGGAGCCAAACGTTTCCGTTGCTAAGCCTGACAGGTGTTAATCGAGCTTTGTCCCGTTTTACAACCATTCCTGCCTCGGTTGCTAAGTGAATCACTGCCGTTGTTAAGCAAGTACCGTGGCTGTTGAGTGAACCTGGCTTCCCCATTGACTTTGCTTGTCAGAAGGTCGCAAAAGGGGATCCCGTTGACCCATGGACACTGCAACCGTCATAAATATGACGGAAGGGACCTTGGAGATCTTCTAGCCCATCCCCCTGCTCAAGAAGGAAGCCCTATAGCATTTCAGACTTAATGGATGTCCAATCTCTTCTTTAAAAACCTCCAATGATGGAGCACCCACAAAGTCTGAAGGACAGCCCTTCCACTGATTAAGTGTCCTCACTGTTAGGATGTTTCTCCTTAATTCCAGGTTAGGTGGCTGTAGAACGGAGCGGGATGGAATGGAACGGAACAGAACAGAACAGAACAGAACAGAACAGAACAGAACAGAATAGAATAGAATAGAAAATATGGAATGAAATGGAATAGAATATGGAATGGAATAGAATAGAATAAAATATATGGAATGGAATGGAATAGAATGGAATAGAATAGAATAGAATAGAATATATGGAATGGAATGGAATGGAATGGAATGGAATAGAATAGAATAGAATAGAATAGAATAGAATAGAATAGAATAGA